GCTACTTGTCCTTCTGTGTGTAGCCACTGCTTGTCCTTGGGAGGGAGGGGTCCCTGTCTATGGCAGCATCACACTGTAGAGATCTTGGGGCCTAAAATTTAATGCTCATTTGGTCTAGACATCCAAGCTTCCCTGGGTCTGCTCTGGCCCAATGGTTTGAGTAAATTAGGATTGATACTACAAATAATAAGAGCTGGCTACCTGTCATGACCAGAACCTGTACCACGCCCCCCCTTTTTTATTGGGCTTGGAGGTGCCCAGGCAAGGCCTAGCTGTGAAGCAAGGCAGGTTGGTGCTAGTACCAGGACTTGGGCCTTGCATTGATAGGTTTGGGGCATGCTGTCACCAGCTGTAACTTGTTTGAGAGATTTTAGCAAAGTCTCAAGCCCTTTATATTAGGACCTCATTTTATCCTACAGCTGCCCAATGGGCTAGGTATTCTGCCTTTATACAGATGGAGCAACAGAAGCTAGGAGTGGTTAAGGAATATACCTAATATCATACTCGAACTTGCTTCCCAACCCATACTCAGCCATTATGTCAGCATTTCTCAAAGAACAGGCCACACAGGTCAAGCTTAGGAGGGGCTCATTTTAAGTGGTCAGATTCCTGGGCTACACCCAAAGCTGAACTAGAACCTCTGGAGCTGAGGCTAAGGACCTGACTTTTAATCATATTTCTCTGGTGAATCTTTAGCACATCAAAATTTGAGAACCACTGTAACATGCTATTGAGGGAAATTTTCCAGTTGCAAATGTATGCTTATCGGGCAAGGAAACTTCAAACCCACTAGACTTAAAGTAAAGGATTTGTGTATAGATACTTGCAACAGACCACTTTCATAATTTAAGCAAAAGCACCAACCATTCCCATCAACACTTCAGGTTTTACTAAAGTAAGAAAGCCTGTGTACTGCTGTACTTGACGTTTACCACTAGAGGGCGCGAATTCTCTGGTAAAGGAATGGGTGCTTGGCAGAGTCTCAAAGAATCCGAAGCAGGGATGGCCAGAGGCAATCAGGAAAACCAGAAACACCCACTGAATGTGCCTTAGTGAAATATCCTTCCCTTGCGAGCACCCAGCTGCAGTGCCTGCGCACCTTCTTCCATCATAAACCAGTGACTCCTCCCCTTGATGATATAAGATGCCCAGTGACTTGAAGGGCTGAACAAGTGGCAGTCTCATCGATGAGCCTCACGTGAATTTCCAGAAGAGATAAAACCGCAGCCTGTAGACCTGGCTGCTTCCTGAATCTCTTCTCTCCCCTAACAATAGCAAAACAGCCTTCTTCTATGACCATCAATTTTCCCACAATAGGCATCTGCAACCTCCGAGGATGACGTGGTTTTGTAGTAAGATTGATTCACATCACACAGCCTTTGTTGTGAGCAGATAGGTGGGAGGAAGTGTTACTAATTTTTTTAAAAAAAGTGAATAATTCTCGGTTGTCAGTGCAGCATCGTTTGTGCAGTCAGCTGAGTGTGAGTCTCTGTAATAGGATTTATGACACAGAGCAGTCTGAGGAATTTCCCATTGTAGTGAGGGAGGTGTCGCTCAGGGCCAACACAGGGATGTAGATTATAGCGTAGGGAATATAGTCAATAGTATTGTAATAACTATGTATGGGGGCAGGTGGGTACTTGAAATAGCGGGGGACCACTCTGTAAAGGACATCACTGTCTAACCCAGGGGTCCTCAAACGACGGCCCGCGGGCCACATGCAAATATAAATATTGTACTTGTTCCCGTTTGGGTTTTTTACTTCAAAATAAGATATGTGCAGTGTGCATAGGAATTTGTTCATAGTTTTCTTTTAAACTATAGTCCGGCCCTCCAACGGTCTGAGGGACAGTGAACTGGCCCCCTGTTTAAAAAGTTTGAGGACCCCTGGTCTAACCACTATGTGGTATACCTGAAATTAATACAAAATAATATTGAATATAATAGATAGAGATAGATAGATAGATAGATAGATAGATAGATAGATAGATGATAGATAGATGATAGATAGACAGACAAGACTGACTTAACTAGGAAAACAAGGGGGGAAGCAAAGGGGTTGAGGTTCGGGTAGAGGATGGACTGTGTTCAGGACAGAGGCCCAGAAGTGGGAGAGTGTGCTGCAGATGTGGAACTGGAAGGAGAACCCCCAAAACTGGATCACACATAGACTTTAAAAATGCAACTATGACTTAACTATAATTTTCCAAAGTAGAATTCATAACATTTCCTCTGTGAAATGTCTATCTTGAAATCAGACACCAATTACAAGCAATTAAGGAAATTTCCAGTGAGAAATTTGGTATCTCTGATTCATTTGCCATTCTCAAGCATTTCATCTTGCAGGTTAAATTCTTTATCTCATTTTCAGAAATGCATCTGGGAAATGAACATTCAAACACTACCTCTCATTCTAATTTGTTTCTGATAGCTACAGCTATTCTAGAATGTTCTTTGTGTAGTAACTTCATGCTCCTTAAAGACTAAAGGGAATATAAATGATTACGATTCTCCTGATTAGGTTTGTAAACATATGCTACCTTCAAGGACAGCCAATGGTAGAACAAGCTCCTACACAGTGTAGTTAACACAGTTTTTCAGAGACCTCAAGTTCACTGTTCTTAAGCAGATTTCCTGGTCTTGGAGAAAAATGTGTGGCACTGTAGACACACCACATCAAAAGATGTTCTTTTCATATTCTTAGATCATGCTTTCTATTTCTTCCCCTCCGTATCTAGTTTGAGCCTCATTCCTCTGTCCTTTCGTTGTATCAATTATTTTCTCCCCTCCTTAGATCTCTCTGCATATTCTACAGCCTGAAACTCCTTAAGAAATGGCCTAAAATCATTTAACTTCATTCTTTTTTTACAAAAATGGCTTCATCTACTCAGCAAAAAAATATATTACGTAGGTGAATCCTATCCTACACATTTAGAATGAGCCCTTGTTCTTAAAAAAGGTTTGTGATTTCAGAGGTATGTTCCAAAGTAGTCAGTCTTCTCCCTTCCAAATGCGTAAGCCTTGAGTTCAGTGGAAAGCATAGTAGTATTTTAGAGTGCTGTTTCTGGGGGCTCCTGTTGGTCGTTCTCTCTTTTGTTTTTCTAATCCTACCCAGTCAAAAGAGTTGACCATCCTTGATAAAATAAAGTTCTGCTTCTGCACATGGTTCCAATGTGCAGAAGGCCTAGGACGGGAGTTCCACAACACTTAGAGTGTCATGAGAGTGGGTTCTAGCACTCTTCGGCATCTTCACCAACTCTGATTTGACTGTCAAAAATTTGACTTAAAAGAACTTCATAACATATTGCTCTAAATCACAATGAGATACCACTTCACACCCAAGATGACTATAATTTTTTAAAAAAATAGTGCTGTTGTAGATGTGGAGAAATGGAAATCCTTATATATTGTTGTGCAAAATGGTTCAGCTGCTGTGGGAAACACGTTGGCATAAAAAAGTTAACATACAGTTACACATGACCCTGCAATTCTATTCCTAAATATATACCCAAAAGGATTGAAAACAGATACTGAAACAAGTACATTACACACATGTTCGTAGCAGCACTATTCACAACAGCCAAAAGGTGCAATCAGCCCACACCTCCATCCCTGGGTGAATTGTGTATAACAAATTGTGTATGTACATACAATGGAGTATTACTGAGCCCTAAAAAAACAAAACAAAGTGCTGATGATACATGGTACAGCGTGGATGAACCTTCAAAAAAGTTACATTTAAGTGAAAGAAGCTAGACACAAAAATTCACATATTGTATGGTTCCAATTATCGGAAATATCCAGAATAGATAAATCCATAGAGACAGAATGCGGATTGGTTACCAATGGCTGGGAAAAGTGGTGGTTACACAACATTGTGACTATCTTAAATGTCACTGAGTTTATCTTCTGTGAATTTCACCTCAGTAAGTTATTTTTCTAATGAAACAAATTAAAAATGATGTATTTCCCTAGGCAAAACTTGGATAGGTAACACATTTTATTGCTGACAGGAAACTGCTAAATCAATAACACATACACTTCATTTCTGTTGGTAAGGAAACCTTGCCTAAAGTCAGGAATAGAACAAATGTCAGCTAGTTGCTTGTTTTCTTTTTCTTATTCATCAGCCTTTATATGAGCAGGAAACATAATGGAGCTTATTTCTTGAGCAACCTGTAAATGCTTTTCCCTCTGCAAAAGCTGTGGAGGCATTTTCAGCATCCTCTTCAGACTCAAGAATTCAGATTCACCATCATTCCACTGTTACATCCAGGACCCAGCCAGACAGTGACTAATTTGAGTAAACAATTTTAAGGTTTCACAGTCAATGTCCTGTATGCCAACCACAGCTTTCCCAGCCTTCGCTCTCCTCCTGGCTTTATATCTGAGTTGCCTACATGACCTTGTTTGCATGTACTAGCGCCCACCAAGAAGTTCAATGATTTCTGTTTTATAAAGAGGGGTATTCCCTGCACTCTGTGTGTGGACAAGGTAGCATTCCTCCCGCACTGGTCTACTCCCTAATACTAGGACTGTGCCACCCAGATTCTGCTCCGGTTCTCACGTATAAAGAGCCTGCTATGGATAGCTCAGTGGCTTGTTTCTTCCTTATGACAACTTGTGGACTTGGAAGTTTCAGATCCTAGACTATAGAACTAGAGTGTGGCTTGGTCTATGCATGGGGCTTTGAGTCTACGGACACCACCAGCTAAGGGCAAATTAACTTTGCATGTCCAGCTCCATAGACAACCCACTCTTCCCTGAATGATGTTATCCTCAATTTCTTAACATATGAAGCCCATATTATAGCCATATTTCTTCTCACATGTGGAATCAGCTCATCTCCTAGCACAGGGAAAGGTTGTGGAAGCAGATGGCCTGGCTTGGAGACCACCTGCTACTCAGAATTCCTTGTTTGGAATTATATTTCATAGGAATGAGAAAAAATACAGCAAAACATCTAATGCTCTGAAAACGTATACAGAGACCTCTTTAAATACTGGTCATATTATAGTTTGCAGCATAATTTATTATCTGGTCATAGTAGTTGGGTCCATTAATGGGTATTGATTTAACATCATTGTGACCACTCTTGAGACAGAGCAACCCAAAAAGAAAACTTCAAAATGCACAAGAGCAATAAATATCAAACTTTCTGGTCTAAAATGTATAAATATAAAATATCAGTCACTTCTGGAAACATCTTAAGAAAATCCAGGGACCACATGTTCATGGGCAGGTATCCGGTGGTGACTGTGCTAATCTTCAGAACATATCACCTCAGATCCAGCACGATTATTTTTATGTCTTTTACCAACACATGTTTGCATACCTAGGAAAGAAAAAAAAATGTCTTTAGATCATAATGTTTAACAAAATTCTCTTTAGGGAGGGAATATGAATTTCCTAATTTAAAAATGTTCCTAATTAAAAAAAATAATTTCCAATGAGAACAAATATAATCAAGTGTAGCCATGTTCAACAAAAAGAAAATATTTACAGAGGCTGCCAAGTAATTTTTATTTTAAATAAATACTAACTTCAAACTAATGTTTCTCAGATGTTACAGCCAGAGAACCACCAAGGAATCAGTTAGAAAGAAAAGTTGTAGCCAGATAATGTTTCTTTCGGGCTATACAATGCTGATTAAGAAGTTACTGCTATGAAAAAAAGTAATGTAGCCACATTATGTGGAAATAATTCATGAGACATTCGATATCATTTTATTTAAGAACTAGAGGCCCGGTGCGCAAAAATTTGTGCACTCGGGGTGGGGAGGGGGGTCCCCCAGCCCGGCCTGTGCCCTCTCACAGTCTGGGACCCCTCGGGAGATAACGACCTGCTGGCTTAGGCCTGCTCCCGGGTGGCAGAGGGCAGGCCCAATCCCTAGGTGCAGCCCCTGGTCAGGCTCAGAGCAGGGCCGATTGGGGAGTTGGGGCGCCGCCCCGTCATGCACAGAGCAGGGCGGATCGGGAGGTTGCGATGCCACCCTCAGTCATGCTCAGGGTAGGGCCGATTGGGGGGTTGGGGCACCGCCCCCTGTCACACTCAAGGCAGGGTCGATGGGGAGGTTGCGGCGCCACCCCCTGTCATGCACAGAGCAGGGCCAATCGGGGGGTTGGGGCGCTGCCCCCTGTCACTCACAGAGCAGGGCCGATCAGGGGGTTGGGGCGCTGCCCCCTGTCACTCACAGAGCAGGGCCGACCAGGGGGTTGGGGCGCTGCCCCCTGTCACTCACAGAGCAGGGCCCACCAGGGGGATTGGGGCTCCGTACCTTGTCACACACAGAGCAGGGTCGATCAGGGGGTTGGGGAGCTCCCCCCTGTCACGCACAGAGCAGGGCCCATCAGGGGGTTGAGGAGCTCCCCCCTGTCACTCACAGAGTAGGGCCGATAGGGGAGTTGGGGCACCGCCCCCTGTCACACACAGAGCAGGGCGGATCAGGGGGTTGGGGCGCTGCACCCTGTCACACGCAGGGCAGGGCCAATGGGGAGGTTATGGCTCTACCCTGTCACACACAGAGCAAGGCCCGTGGAGGGGGGTTGGGGCACCACCCTCTATCACCCACAGAGCAGGGCCGATCAGGGGGTTGGGGCGCCACCACTGTCACACTCAGGGCAGAGCCGATGGAGAGGTTATGGCTCTAGCCTGTCACACACAGAGCAGGGCCCTAGGGGGGTGGGGGGGTTGGTGCGCCGCACCCTGTCACACACAGAGCAGGGCCGATCAGGGGGTTGGTGCACCGCACCCTGTCAAACACAGAGCCGCAGGGAAATCAGGGGATTGGGGAGCTCCCCCCTATCAGGCACAGAGCAGGGCTGATCAGGGGGTTTGGGGCGCCTTCCCCTGTCACGAACAGAGCAGGGGCAGATAGGGAGGTTGTGGCCCCGCCCCCCTGTCACACACAGAGCCGCAGGGCGAATCAGGGGGGTTGGGGAGCTCCCCCCTGTCACACACAGAGCCGCAGGGCAATCAGGGGATTGGGGGAGCTCCCCCCTATCAGGCACAGAGCAGGGCTGATCAGGGGGTTGTGGCCCCGCCCCCTGTCACACACAGAGCTGCAGGGCGATCAGGGGGTTTGGGGCGCTGCCCCCTGTCATGCTGATCCCGGTGCCGGGAGCCTCGCTGCTCTGCTGATCCCGGTGCCGGGAGGCATATTACCCTTTTACTATATAGAATAGAGGCCTGGTGCATGGGTAGGGGCTGGCTGGTTTGCCCTGAAGGGTGTCCTGGATCAGGGTGGGGGTCCCCACTGGGGTGCCTGGCCAGTCTGGGTGAGGGGCTGAGGGCTGTTTTCTGGCTGGCGGGTGACTGAAGCTCCCAACCGCTCCTTTTTTTCTTTTTTTTAATTTTATTCTGGGCCAGCTTTAGCTCTGAGGCCTCGCTGCTGAAAACATCGATACAATGTTGTGGTCCAGCTGGCTGAAGCCCGGCTGACTAAAAGCCGGTTTCCGGGGTTTTGTTTAGCTTCTTATTTGCAACATAGTACATAGTTGCTTAGAGTTGCAGCTGAGAGGCCGGCAAGTCAGCCGGGGAACGTTGGAGTCCGCCGTCACTGGAGCAAGCAAGCCTCCCTGCTCACTTCAGTGCATGGCTGCCAGCAACCATCTTGGCTGACATTTAATTTGCATAAGGATATGCTGATTAGCCAATGGGAAGGGTAGCGGTCGTACGCTAATTACCATGTTTCTCTTTTATTAGTGTAGATTGTTTGCTTACTTGGAATCTGAAGAAAACTGTATTTAAATATCACAAAGATACATAAATGGAAAGGTGACATGGGCCGGTAAATAAAATATAGGACAAATTACAAAGAATAATTAATGTTCTAGATAAGAAAACTCCAAACTAAGCACTACAATGTTTTATCCCATATATACTGCTAAAAAAAGCGAGAAGGTAAAAATGTAAATATCTGTGCTGTCACATGTCAGTGTTAGCTTTGACCTATGAACCAGGAGATCACGGATTGATTCCTGGTCAGGGCAGATGCCTGGGTTGCAGGCTCGATCCCCAGTGTGGGGTGTGCAGGAGGCAGCCGATCAATGATTCTCTCTCATCATCGATGTTTCTCTCTCTCCCTCTCTCTTCCTCTCTGAAATCAATAAAAATATATTGTTTAAAATTAAATATCCAACAGTATCTACTCACGCTGAACAGCCTTGGTTCCTTGGTGTGCGGATGAAAGCCCTTCTTCTTACAGGTGGAGACCTCGAGCATGCCAGCACTGGTGAGCCGGAAGATGCCAGTGCTGGGTTTCAGGGTGAAGGAAAGGTACAAAAATTTAGGATTGTCTGGGCTTTCCTGATCCTTTATTTGAATGGCACAAGCATATTCCTCAAATGGGAAGGAGGAAGGCACCACAAACTAGGAATTCCACATGACTTTTTGAACCAATCTTACGATGACTGGCCTAGAGGTGAGACACACTGGAGGGGCCAGTGCTAACTCCAAACACCTGCAAGATTGTCAGGGCAAGAGGCAGCTGATCCGCTGGGGAGACCACAGCGGAAACGCCGAGGCCCCCTGGAGGAGACTGCGGGTGGCAGATCTTTCTAATTATTTTAACAATGGCAATAGTGGTGATCGCAACAGCAAATATTTAAGGAGTGCTGGCTGGGGGCCAGGCACGATGCTAAGCCCTTTACATAGACGGTCACCTTGAGTTTCATGCTCACATCAACCTGTGATGGGCAGGTGTCAGGGATGAAGAGGCCCAGCCTCACGGTGGTCAGGCATCTTGCTAAACACACCAGTTGAGGGTGGAGACTGGATTCCTATATAACTTGACATGAGTCCTGTGCTTATAATCACTCTACAATAATAATCATCTCCCAAACCTAGAAAGGTTTTGGAGGTAATTAAACGAAGGCTGGACATTTTCCTACAACAGGAAATAATACAGGAGAACTAACATCTCAAATGATAAACTGGAATAATAACATCCAATTTAGCCACTTCAAGGTCATGTTAACTGGAGAAAAAGAACCAGCAATTCTCCCACTGAAAAGGACCTTGAAAAGAAAGACCTTAAAGCTAAAGAGACATGGGAACTGACTGCCACCAATCTTTTCCCTCAAGGGCATGGTGTGCCTGCCTTGTGGAGGGGACACACTTGAACCCAGCAGCCCCAGTCCCAGCCTCACTGGAGCCCCTCCACGTACAGGTACTCATTCACTTACTCGTTATGCTTTGGTGAACACACAATGGCAATTCCCTCTGGCAACATGAGCTGATAGGAACAGTGAGTGTGAAGATCGACACTGGATAAGAATGCTGTTTGGGTCGGATGTGTCTATGGAAAGAGAAGAGGACAATCTTATGGGGTAGCTGAGTCTTAGCCAAGGCCACAGACCATGCGAAGAGAAAACTCTAGTTATTTGCTATTTCCTTCTTACCATCATTAACCAGATATAAACTTCTTAAAGTGTCTGCTGACATATACCCTCCCTGTTTGCATCTTTGGAAAAACTATGACTTTGAGAAGAGTTTCTTGGGAGTGTTCATGTCCGTTCTACTTATTGGAAAAGACAGAACTGGAAATTAATCATCACAACTCATCTAAGGAGACACCTCTATTATTATCTCAATTTTCCACCCAGGGATCCCGAGGTTCCTTTAAGTAATTTGCCTGTGGTCACACAGCTGGTCAGGAGGAGAGAGCTGTGACTAGAAACCCAGAGGTACTTTACACAAAACCCTGGACACAAAAGGAAAGTTTTCAATAAATTCCCCACATGGTGCTGTTACCCCTATGTGGATCGCCATTCCCTACCAATGGGAGAACGGAACTCTTCAGGTTGTTCAAGGTGTTTGGGACTCATCTTGCACAGCCAATAAGTATGCACAATGCAAGAAGGAAGAGATAAAAAAGTAAAGGAATTATCTTCCAGATTTGGGGCTTATATACACACGTATTTATGAGAGGCACATCAGAGGTTCATACTTGGATATGAAAAACCCATGCCGCCACAATGATTTTAAAACTC